TTCCCTTTCATGCCCCGGTTCCTCGCGAAAGGAGCACAAAGGAGCGCGGGTTCCTTCATGGCAGAGCTACGACGCACTGATTAAAAATTATCACCCATCGACTACAAAGGGGGCACTTGCCCACCACTCGCTGTCCTCTTCCTTTCCTACAAGCCCCCTCCCCCCCCTCCTTTTTCTTTTCCTTTTTTGTTTCGCCGACACTTCGTCTTCTTATTTATCTCGCCGTGGTCCCTACGAAAACTAAACAAGCCTCGGTCGCCGAGGAAACTTGGCAGACGAATTAAAAGTTACTCCCGGTGTGTATATATGCTTGCATGCAAGTGTGTATGTGCGTGTGGGACGAGAGTTTCCGATTCGTAGCGCAAGTGGTTATGGAAACGAGAAATGAGCGATTGCCTCCGCAAATACTTGGCATTTGGCATGCAAAATACGGGCGTTTTCTAAGACCAACAGTTCATGACTCTTTTACTACATTGCTCGGTTTCGTCTCAGATTTGGTTTTAATCGTAAACAAAATGAATAAAATCGTGGTGCATTGCATTGAATATTTTTTGTCGTTTAAATTTGACCGAACGATTATGCGAATTCAAGCAATTAGTTCGCGTGCCGCGATTCGCAAGTGCACGCGAACGGTCGTTATTCTTAACGATGTAACTCGATGACTTCTGTTCTCTCGATGGGCAGGACAACGTGCCGTCAAATCGACAGAGTTCTAGACCGTGATTCTTTACTTTCGCGAGATAATAATAAACGTATCTTTCAATCATTATTTAATTCTCCCCGCAACCGGTATTTAATGTGCGGTTTCGTCATAATGGCATGTTAATCGCCGCAGGAGAGAAAACCGCTACCGCTGCCTCCGTATGGCAGACCCTAGCTCCTCGATCTCTTCTTAGGATCGATCCTATACCTTTCTGACGTATACACGAATACGCCCATCGGCATTCACGAGCGTCGGTCACGAAAGGGGCCATGACTCGCGACGTGATTCGCACGTATCGTTGCCCTCACGATAATCCCAATGCCAGTGAACTTTCAATCCCAAAGGAGCTCCGGGCTAGCTCCGTCGCTGAATTCCTGCATCACCTTCTAGTAATTGCCATCTGCTTCCAAACTGGCGCATCGCCGACAAAACATTCAGCTGAATCGTACAACGGACAAATATCGGCGGCAATTAAGATCAATGAGTCCCAACACGATGAAGAGCACATTACACTTGAGAAAAGTAGCAGTTGTTTTCTACAGTTCTTTGCAGAAAACGCGGAATTGATGTTCTATTTTTCTAAATAGCTGTTCATACAATTTTTTGCTTCGTTTTAGTGCTAAAACGCAGTAAAAATTGCACAATTAAATTCCGAATATGCAACATGGTGATAATTATCCGATCTATTTAAAATTTCTGAGATTGAAATCTGAATTAGACCTAATTATTTAACGTCTGTAAAAATGAAAACGACTATGTTAAGCGATTATACGTATGTATTGGAGCCACGTGTGATTTAATTCAACGCGTGTTGTACGTGTAATTTCGAAAATTTCGAATGCACCGCGTGAAACGAGAGTCGCCGGTTAGTCGGCGCAGAACTATACTAAAGCATTGAAATGAGTTCTGAGAATCCGGGTAGAGGACTTCACTGTCTTTAGGTGCCGTCCTAGAATCTACGAAATTGATGACTCCCCTTCTAGTCCAGTCCATTGTGTCTAATTTGCTAATTTTAGACAAAGGTCATTGAGAGGAATATCATCCAACGTGAATCACGAAGGAATCGTTTCATAAAGCCTGCTCGTGTCTTCTCGAGCGCCAGAATTAACGAGATTTAAATGACAAATCGCAAAAACATTCACGAGTTCTAAAAAGTCGAATATTACATGTAACTCTTTTTCCAGAGGGATTATCATTATCGATTTAAGCATGAATTATTAATAATACGGACTCGTTTCTCTTTGGCGATCGTCAACAGAGCAACCGACATGTTTTAAAAGCACAATTTTTTACTACATTTCAATCTCGCGTTTAAGGCGGTGCTGCTATACAATAAATTGAAAGGGGCAACATTTACACGTGCGTCTCGCTGAATCAGCATGAGGAAGCACGGCATAACGAGTCGTCTGATATTACTTGTTACATCGCGTCGTAATTTTAGTAACTATTCGATGGAGAAATGTGCACGCCACAACAAGCACGAAATGTTAAAGGAGCTAATTCTATAGAAACTTGTCACGTAGAAGATGAAGAAAATAAGCAGAAGAGAATTGAGGATAATATCACAAATGTTTTATGTCGAGCGATTTTTTTATTCTACTTTTCAGCGCAACGTTCCTTTCTTTAGTGTACCTTGTAGATCCTGATTAAAAGATCTCCCCTCAAATCTTGATGATAGTTCCAAGTATGCTGCTGAATTTTGAAATAGGCGGAGAACGCGTGATTTGGCAATGCGCGAATCTGCCACTCGACCGTACTATAAAAACCTTATCGGCGATCTTGCTGCGGCTCGTGTGGGGACGCTTAATATTAATGTCTCCGCTCTTGCGGAGGTATCCTTGCATTCGTGCATACCGGGTGTTCCGGAATTGAATCATACTTTTTTCCCGGCACTTCTGCGTGTGCCAAATCCTGTTTTGTCGCGATTGTTCCAAGCTATCTTTGATTTAGCCGGTACGATGAAAAGATAAGAGATTCTAACTCTGAAAATTCTGAAAATAAACGCTTTCTAATATTTTAATTAAATTGAGAAAAATATTATTTCGCAAAGCTACTCGAGATTATCATCTTAAATGTGTTAAAAACGCATGAAAAATTATACGGTCAAATAATTATAAAATTATACAAGTATAATAACTGAATTTAATACAATAAATATTCACAAGTGTTCGTGACAAGTTTATAAATGCGGGATTCCGTCGACAATTCATGTCGAATTAATGTGTCAATCGCGCGGTAAGTAATCGCGCAGCTTAACTCGTGTCAACCTTCGAACTTATTGACCCAGAATGAGATGAAGTCGGTCTTTGACGCAGCCTTGATCTTTCGCGATCTTTCATCCTTGCACGATACTGAGGATCGCCGTCGATACCGAAGAGATCGAAATCGTCATTAATTCCACGTGACTCCGTCCGCCCCACCAATCGTTCTCTGGAGTTTCATGCTCCGCTCGTTCTGAGCACCATGACTTTTACCTCTAATTGCGAGTCACCTCGCCCAGGGACTTTTTCGCAAGACGAGATCGTTGCACGCAAAGGTCACTAAGTTGTTTACGAAGGAGCAAATGTTATCCTTTAGGCGCGATAACGGCCATCGTGGATAAAGTGGGAACGCTTGACACGTTGTTAATCAAAAAGTCACACACACACACAAAGAGACTAAAATCGATACACAAAGAAATACCAACTTTTGCGACCGCAATTTGCATACATAAGCGTGATAAATGCTACTTTCTTGTCATATTTGAATTAATACTTTATTAATACTCGATCGATGTAACGGGAAGAATGATTAGTTTCTAGCAAATAATCCTAAACAGTTTTAAAGACACTGTACGCGAAGATGAAATAGTTGCGTTCATAATTATATATTTGCTCATTAATCGATGTATGAAATATGAATATTACGAAAAAATAACTCATATTTATATTTTTATTTGTTCGATCAGGACGGCTTTGTAACTCGGTCACCCTATATAAGATCTCGGATATATAGCGGTGCTGTGCACCAGGTACCAACGTCTCGCATCCCCCAGTATAACGTATGAACACCACGGGCCCGAGATGGTATAGGAGTTTAATTGGTGGTAATATGAATCCGTGTAATATAAACCGCCATCAGTCTCTCTCGGCGGGAGAATGAACGTGCGAGAGGAGGACCGAGCGACGAGCGGGTCGGATCAGAGAGCGAGAGAAGAGGCACACGGGTCTCCGAAACGGTGTCTCCACCTTCGTAATACCGACGGCTCTTTTTATCACTGTCGCGAGATTCGGTGCTCTTTAAGCGCACCGATCGCTGATTACGCGAGCAATAATTCACGTGGGGCACGACGGCGTCCTAACACGGTAATCGAAACCTCTTATCAGACGCGATCCTTTTGTTGCTAAAAAAAAAAGGAGCATCGGTAATCAAATCTCTTTGTAATTGTATATATCTCGTCCTCTAAGACTAATTATTAAGTGTATGCGATTAACGAGTTTACACAATTGATGTTAAATTAATGACAAAACTTATATCGCAAAGAAACATTTGGAAGCATCAGATTGCCGCGTGACGGAGAACAATAAATTCAATTGTTCAAATAGAGTTGGAATTATATTCCTGAAGAAGTCGGGATTCGCGCCAAATCACAAAGGCATTCAATAGAAACGGGAGAGCTAAAAATCCCGCAAGAAAGCCCAGTAGCGAGAAGCGTTGACAAAAAAAAATTGTATGGCTCGCAATTCTCAAATTCTCCGCGCGCGTAAGACGGAGAGAGAGAGAGAGAGAGTGAGAGAAAACAAAGTTCGTTGACTTTCTAGGGACGCGACCCCAGCGCGATCGGTGGAAGATAAATACCCGAGCTCGGGAGGAGGATTCCTCGTTCTCCTGCGGGAAACGAACCACCCCGTCATTCCTCAGAGTCCTCCCTTCGCGTGCGCCCTCCCCGAGGAGCCCCCACCTCTCTCTCTCTC